CCCCCCAACATGACTTAGATGGGTATAGAAAAGCGGTAGGGAACAATAGGGGCGACAACCCCCACGAAAAGTTTGAGTGGCACATGGGACTGTTGTATAGGGTGACGGATGGGGCGGGACACGGAACCGCCCAGGTTACTAAAAAGCAGCTAGTAGTGCCCCGCAAGTTTCGGGCTGAGTTATTAAGACTCAGTCATGATATCCCCCTAGCCGAACATTTAGGGGTTAAGAAAACTAGAGACCGCTTGACCCAAACCTTCTTCTGGCCCAGGGTCACTCAAGACCTCAAATACTATTGCAGGACCTGTGACGTTTGCCAGAAAATAGGGAAACAGGGTGACCACCAAAAAGCGAAGCTTCACTGCTCTAGTAACAAGTGTGTTTTTACCTATCATAGAGGAGCCGTTCCACCGGGTAACGGTAGATTTAATAGGACCCCTCAGTCGGCCCAGTCAGTCTGGTAAAAAGTTCATACTCACCGTAGTGGACTATGCCACTCGGTACCCCGAAGCCGTGGCCCTCCCCAATATAGAGGCCGAAACCGTAGCCGAGGCCCTGGTCAAAATATTCTCCCGGGTAGGTTTCCCCCAGGAGATCCTATCCGACAGAGGGACTCAGTTCACAGCTCTCCTGACACAACAGCTGTGGCAGAGCTGTGGAGTGAAAGCCCTCTTTAGCGCCCCATATCACCCTCAGACCAACGGTCTCTGTGAACGTTTTAATGGCACGCTCAAGCAAATGCTAAAAACGTTCACAGAGTCCTGTAGGAACTGGGAGAGGTATCTTCCCCATCTCCTGTTTGCCTATCGTGAAGTGCCCCAGGCATCCACGGGGTTTTCCCCCTTCGAACTCCTGTTCAGGAGAAAAGTTCAGGGCCCCCTGGATCTCGTACGGGAGCACTGGGAGGGCAACACGGATGATGGGGGCTCCCTATAGTCCAGTACGTACTGGAATTCCGTGACCGGCTGCGGACTCTCACTGAATCAGTTTGGGAGAACCTGCATGCAGCCCAGGACTGCCAAAAGAAGTGCTACGACAGGGGTGCCCGAGACAGAGTCTTAGACTTGGACCAAAAAGTGCTGGCTTTGAGACCCGCCAAGAAGGATAAGCTCCAGGCGGCTTGGCAGGGATCCTTTAAGGTGGTGGAGCGAATAAGCGATACCACCTACATTGTAAGTAAATGTTCAGATGAAAGACTGACCAAAGTCTTCCATGTAAACATGCTGAAGCCTTACTACGAACAGACGGAAGATGTCGGCGCCGTATGCGCCCCCTCTTCCGAAGATAACGAGGGACTCCCACTCCCCGATCTGTTAGACCCCTCACCCTGCAGTATTGACCAGGTCAGCCTTGGTCAGAACCTACAACCTCTAGAGCGACAGGAAGCGTCCGGCCTGCTCCGAGAATACCAGGTCATGTTTTCTGCCATCCCAGGCTATACCTGCGCTGCGGTACACCGGGTAGAAACCCGGGGAGGGACGCCACTACGGCAGCAACCATACCGCATTCCCGAGGCCGTGCGTGAGAGCATGCTGGCAGAGATTACCAACATGCTCAAGTTAGGGGTAATAGAACTCACTCAAAGCCCTTGGGCCTTTCCGGTAGTACTAGTACTGAAGCGTGACGGCACCACACGCTTCTGTGTAGACTACCGGAGGCTCAACGACCGCACCCCATGCCCAGAATAGATGAGTTACTGGACCGTATGGCTGGAGGTAATTACTTGACTACTCTGGACTTGTGCAAAGGGTACTGGCAGATCCCCTTGGAGTCTGCAGCCATCCCCAAGTCGGTATTCGTCACTCCCTTCGGGCTTTACCAATTCAAGGTTATGCCCTTTGGGATGAAGAATGCCTCGGCTAGGTTTCAGCGGATGGCTGACAGGCTCCTGGAGGGACTCCAGGACTTTGCATGTGCGTATTTAGACGATATTGCTGTCTACAGCCGCACATGGGGAGACCACCTAGGCCACGTGTCCAGGGTGCTCGAGAGAATTCACCAAGCAGGGCTTACGTTAAAACCGGACAAATGTCACGTTGGTATGGCGGAGGTACAGTACCTCGGCCACAGGGTAGGGTCAGGTAAACAGCAGCCTGAGCCTGCCAAAATAGAGGCCATAGCTAACTGGCCCCAACCTCGGACTAAGACCCAGGTCTTAGCCTTCTTAGGAAGAGCCGATTATTACCGGAAATTTGTCCCCAACTATAGCGCCCTGGCCAAACCCCTCACTGACCTCACCAAAAAGGCCCTTTACAAACAGGTTACCTGGACCCCAGAGTGCGTGGCAGTCTTCCAGAAACTGAAAGCAGCATTGAGTGAGGCTCCTGTGTTGGCAGCACCCGACTACTCTAAACAATTTCCTGTCCACACAGATGCCTCCATGTTTGGGCTGGGAGCCGTGTTAAGCCAGGTGGGAGACGACGGCATGGAACACCCGGTGGCCTATCTAAGCCGTAAACTTTTGCCCCGGGAGGTCAGCTATGCCACCGTGGAGAAGGAGTGCCTAGCCCTGGTGTGGGCCCTTAAGAAACTCCAACCTTATTTGTACGGCCGGCCGTTTACTCTGATGACCGACCACAACCCGTTGGTATGGTTAAACCGGGTGGCTGGCGACAACCCTAGACTCTTACGGTGGAGCCTAGCCCTTCAACCGTACAACTTCACCATGCAGTATCGTCCGGGCAAACAAAATGGTAATGCAGACGGTGTGTCCCGCCAAATGGAATTGGATGCTTAACCTGGACTGTTTCTTTGTTTTCCCTCGGACATCCCCAAGCCAACCCGTCAGGGTCTTGGCGGGTATGCCGACCTATGGACTTATAGGGGAGCAGTGTGAAGAAATGCCCCTCTTATGCTGTAAATTGACTGTTTGTATTCGTTTGTTTAATAGTAATGTTCCCTATGGCATTCGGTAGGTAAAACTACCGAATCCAGACCACCCTGTTGCCCATTATACAGACTGTACCCCCTTGCTGGCTGGATTACGTTTGACAGAAGTTCTGCACGAACGGCATGTCTCGCCGCCATTTCGGGACTTCCACACTATTGGATTTACAATTGGGATTCGTCTACCATAACTACCGAACGGAGGGCTATGTTCACTGGGCTCTGGCGGTTCGGGAGGAAACTACCGATTAAGGTTTAAATGCACTTGGTTTCCTTACAGACTCCACAATACTCCACATACATATTCCAGGTGTCCTGTGGTATCTGGCACAAAGACATTATAAGCAGATCCATTAAGTCCTGCAAGTTCCACGGTGAGGCCTCCATGTATTGGATATGTTGTTCCAGCACATCTCACAGATGCTCAATCAGATTGAGATCTGGGAAGTTTGAAGGCCAAGGCAACACCTTGAACTCTTTGTCATGTTCCTCACACGATTCCTGAACAATTGTTGCAGTGTGGCAGGGTGCATTATCCTGCTGTAAAAGGCCACTGCCTTCAGGGAACACCATCGCTATGAACAGGTGTACGTGGTCTGCAACAATCTCTAGGTAGGTGGTATGTGTCAAAGTAACATCCACATTATTGCCAAAACCCAAAGTTTCCTAGCAGAATATTGCACAGAGCATAACACTGCCTCCGCCTGCCTGTCTGCCTTCTTGGCAGGATGACGGTGCATCCTGCTGCCATCTCTTACCCAGGTAAATGACACACACACACAAAAATGTGATTCATTAGACCAAGTAACTTTTTCTTCCATTGCTCCATGGTCCAGTTCTGATGCTCAAGTCCCCATTGAAGGCTCTTTCTGCTGTGGACAGAGGTCATCATGGGCACTCTGATGGGTCTACGGCTATACAGGCCCATACACAGACTGTTCACTTGCTACCTAATATTTTCCCACGCCTTAAAAGGTGCCATTGTAACAATATAATCAAGGTTATTCACTTCACCAGTCAGTGGTTTTAATGTTGGGGCTGATCGGTGCATGTATTTCCAATATACTTAAGATTTTCCATTATGGTACCGTTTTAATTTACAGTATTTCTACCATTTCCATATTTTCCCCATGTTCTGTTTTAGATTTCTTAGCGTTTTGTAGATACAGATCATCTCCTGCACTAATATACGAAAACGACATACCTTATGCTTTTAGCACTAGACTATTGTGTCAGGGAACATATCCTAACACTACACATGTTATGTCTGAATATGTAGCTCTCTCGAATGCCTGTTTTAGTGCTATATCATTAGCTCTTTTCAAGTTTAATTAACTGTTACTGCAGTCTGATTCATATGCTCATTGTACCTCTTTGCAATTTCATTACAATAAAGCCTTATTGAACACAAATGATTCCGATGGCAGGATTGGCAGACAATATGACTACAAAATTCAGACAAGTGCTGCAGGTTAAATCTATGCCAAGAGCAGTGCCCACCCCTCCCCCTTCTAAAAAAATAATAACATTAAATATGTATATATATATATATTTATATATATATAAAAAAAAGGGCCTAACCCATCTTAGCAGGCATTTAGCTTTACACCTTCACCTTCTCCCCACTCCCCCTCATAGCCCACTTTGGTTAGGGGCACATTAGCAGACAGCCTGATCCCTCGCTCAATTCTTGACGCTTGATATGCACCTTTCTCAATTCATTGTACTCCATTTTACCTCCCAGGCTGCTCTTCCTGTACAGGTGAACCCTCTTGCTTTAAAAAAATTAATGCTTGGCTCCCATTCTCGTAAACACTTAACTTTGCCAAATGTAACCTGCAATATGTTACATGATTACCTCTGGAACAAGCATTGATATGAAAAATGATTTAAAAAAAACAAATGTAAAATTATTTTTATATATATATATATATATACACACACACACACACACACAAAAATGAAAGGCAAGTAGGCTGCATTCGCCTGAACACGTATACTTTTAAGGGTGCCACTTGGGCCAATTCATACAACATACAAGATCCAGCTCACTCGCTCATTCACTAAAACAGCAATTTCAAAGCTCACAGAATATAATCATTTTATTTAAAAACACCTAATCTACGCAAAAATTATAGGGGTTTTAGTTACAGTATATGATCATACACTGTATAAGCCTGCCAAAATGTCAGTGTATCCCATTCTTGGCAGGTCCTACTCTATTAGCCTAATGCTTGCTCTTATGAAATTAATCCACTTACTTGGAAAATGCTTCCTCCTAGGACTCACTGCAAGTCAAGGATAATAGGGTCCTGGAATGAGGCATCTGTAACAGGGAGGGGTGCAAAACCAGGGAGTTGGCCTGGACTCCCAAATATATAAATGAAACCAAGAGGCTGCACTCACCTGAACATGTAATACGAGCAGGCAGCAGGTAGTACTATTAACCAAAAAGTTATTTACCTGTCAAATCCTACTCTGAATTTGGTGAGGGGGAGGGAAGGGGAGGTGTGTGTGTGTATATATTTATTTATTTTAAAAATAAAATTAAAACTTACTACATAGGATTGTAGGACCGCTTAAATCATAGATAAGGCAATAAGGTACTCTGCTACAGATTATTAGCCTATACTATATGGTATGACAAAAGCCTTAACATAGGTCATATGACTATTCAGGTTCTTTTTTTGTGTGATTTTCACAAACTTAAAAAAAAAAAAAAGGAATAAATAAATAAAAAACAAAACCCAACAAACCAAGAATCACATGTTTATCTGCTCTTTTTGACATAGTGGGAATTTTTAGCGGTACTCATGTGAAGCATTAACTGTAGCAGGAGAGTTTCATAGTGTCCCCCAAAAACACCCAAAACAACATTATATTTGTCCATAAGACACTCCAAAACATTGAAGAGAAATCAGACTGCCTTCATTTAACCCTCTCCTTGGTTTGTGGGATTTTTTACAAATATAAACAAGTAAAAGATGGCGCTAAAAATTATTAGTTTAAAGAAAATGTGCAATAATATAAAAGCAGCACCTTACTAGTGCAAAAACTCTACCCACACTGTGTTATTATCCAAAAACAAAGATGTGCCGTGTCTTGAAGATAATTCGTTTCTTGTAAAAAACCTTGTATTACAGACCAATAAAGTGCACAATTGAGAAAAAGTGTAAATTACAGTGTAGAAACTCAGTGCACTAATAGCAACAAAGTGCTATTGCAAATAATATATAAAAGCAGTATAATTTCAGTGAAAAAAGTGAAAGTGTAAACACGTTTAATGTGAGTGCCAAACTTGATTACACTTCACTTACATACATTGAAAAAAAGGGAGCAGGTAAGTCTGCTCAGGCTATCCAGGCACTTCTCCACCACCATGCAGCTATAGAACGAAAGATGGACCAATATACACAGAGATGCAGGCAGCAGGATACAATCCAAGGGCTTCACCTGTGTGCCTCCTAACCTGCCATTTGTTTATTATCCCCCTTTTTAAAGGTCTTACCCCTTTACTGTCTTCTATTCACCTATTTTTCCCCCATTGTGTTTCTTACACCTCCCATGTGTATCGCTTACTACCCCCCTTTGTGTTTCTTACTCTCCCAGAGCCTTTGTGTCTTTTACTCTTACCAGCTTCTGTGTGTTTCTCTTTCACCACCAGTCCTGGGGAGTAAAGTGTCATAACTTACCCAAGATCCCCCCCCAAGTAATATACACTTATATATATATGCGTGCACACACACTGACACACACACATATATGCGTGCACACACACAGACACACATACACACTCACAAATTATTTTTTTTAAATGAAAAAATGTCCACCCAGCCTCCCTACCTGGAGAGCTGGCGTGGACCTGTCCCTGGGGTGCAGTGGGGCGGGCGCCTGTCTCCATATCAGACACGGCAAGGGAGCTGTATTCTCTCTGCTCCCTCTCGCCACGCGGGCAGTCTACTGATGCAGGGAGCTGGAATATGACGTCATATTTCAGCTCCCAGCATCAGCAAACGGCGCAGCGAGAACACAGCTCCCTTGCCGCGTCTGATATGGAGACAGACGCCCACCGTCGGGGTCCATCAGGCCACCTCTTGGGCCCCTCCATGACGGGGAACATGGGGGGCATTTGCAGAAATAGCGGGAACGGCTGTAAAAAAAAGTGCAGGAACGCCGTTCCCACATGACTCGAGCCCTGAGCCCGTCTATCTCCCCCCAGCCCCTCTGTCTCTCTTTTTCCTCTTCTCCAGCCCCTCTGTTTCCCTTTCACCCCCAACACCTTTGTATTTCCACTCACAGGCTCTTCTGTGTGGCGCTTTCACCCCCAGGCCCATCTTTGTGTCTTTCTCCCTCCTCTTGTCCATCTGTGTGTCTTTCTCCGCACTCAACCCCCCTGTGTGCGGTGCCACTCTCCCCTCCATGTCCCTTAGTGTTCCGCTCTCCTCCCCTTCATATCCATTAGTGGTCCTCTCCCCTCCATGTCCCTTAGTATTTCCCTCCCGTCCCTTGGTGTCCGTCTTCCCTCCCACTTACCTGTCTCTTAGTGCCCCCCATTCCTCTTAATGTCTCTCCCACCCACTCCCCCATGTTAGTGTTCCTCTCCATTCTCTTTTAGTGGTCCCCCCACTACCCCAGTGTTCATTATCCTTCTCCTCCCCTGTACCTTAGTGCCCCCTACCCCCAATGTTCATCTCCACCCCTATTGTGCTTCCTCTCTCCCCTGTCCCATAGCATTCTTTTCCCCCTCACCTGTCCCATAGCATTCTCACCCCCCCCCCTTAGTGCCCCGGTGTGTCTCCTACCTTTATTGTAGCGTGGCAGAGCAAACCACGGTACAGGAGCTTCGGTCTCCTGTACCCAGCCGGACTGACAGGAAGTGCTCTCTCAGTGAGCACTTCCTTTCAGTCCGGCTGGGTACAGGAATCTTCATGTACCGCGGCGCGCACTGCTCCGCTCGGCCACGCTTCACAGAGTGCCTGGCACGAGGGATCGCTGTGCGCCCACCTCCTGCCGGTCCCTCCGATCTAGCGCCCCCCCCCGGGCCGTGCGCCCTAAGGTGGCCGCTTGTGCCGTCTTATGAATGCGCCGGCTCTGCCCACAATAGCAAGATTGCACTTAGCCCGTTTGCAAGCTTTTTTAGGGCTAAAAATTTGCAAAGTCCACTTCAAAAACAGTTCTGGGGGCGGGGCAGTGACGTAACGGCGTAATGTGATGACGTCGGACATGACGTGTTTCGCTGATCATATTGGCTTCTTCAGATATCTTTTGTTTAATTTATTATTGGAATAAAGCCCTTGGATTGTATCTTGCTTCCTGCATCTCTGTGGATATTGGTCCATCTTTCGTTCTATAGCTGCATGGTGGTGGAGAAGTGCCTGGATAGCCTGACTTACCTGCTCCCTTTTTTTCAATGTATGTAAGTGAAGTGTAATCAAGTTTGGCACTCACATTGAATGTGTTTACACTTTTTTCACTGAAAGTATACTGCTTTTATATATTATTTGCAATTGCACTTTGTTGCTATTAGTGCACTGAGTTTCTACACTGTAATTTACATGTTTTCTCAATTGTGCCCTTTATTGGTCTGTAATACAAGTTTTTTTTACAAGAAATGAATTGTCTTCAAGACACAGGATGAGTGTCGGGAGAGAAACAGAATATACCCCAAATATAAGGAGAAACAACTAAATAATCATAACAAAACATCCGTCACCTTGAGATCCACGCCCCCGAGGAGTCAGGGCAGGCAACAGAAGGGAGGGAAAATACTCGCCTCCTGTTCTTATTAAAATTAAGATTATTAGTACACTAAAGCTAGCATAATCTTCGATTTTATAACATGACAGGAGGCTTCCTATTTTGCAATTTTAACGCTGAAGTAGAGATGTCCCAGCAGAAGGGGGAGTGGGGAAATAAAAAGGTACGGAAGGTAGATTCCCTAGACCAATCCGCTGCTCTGAGAATGTCTGACAGGGACGACCCCACTAGGAAGGCGGAGGAAGCCGCCGCTCTGCGAACGGAATGGGCGCCGAAAGCGGGGTCTATACCGGCAAGGGAGAGGATCCAGCGAATCCATCGGGCTAGTCTGGTGGCCGAGACCGGAGCATGGGGGCGAACATAGGAGACTAGGAGTTGCCCCAATGCCGAGTTACGGAGTGAGGAGGTAACCGAAACGTATCTGCGAAGGGTGGACACGACACAGAGCTGCGGGTCGTCGGGGAAAAAGGGGTAGAAGACCGAAGTCGAACCCGACTTAGTGCAACGGGAAATACGGAAAGTGACCCCCTCGGGGGCAACATCAAAGGCGTCGACGTCGAAGGCTCGAACATCCGATACCCGTCGAAAAGACACGAGACAAAGAAGAAAGGCAAACTTAGCTGACAGTTGTCGTAGGGAGAGACGGTCGTTAGGAAGCCAATCCCTGAAAAAACGGAGAACCAGCCTGACATCCCATAGGTGAGTGTACCTGGGAGCCGGCAGAGCCGCATACCACGGAGCAGGCGGCAGACGAGAGGGTCTTTGCCGACCAGGAGGTCCCCGACGGGGGTGTGGGCCGCCGAAATCGTCGAGCGAGCGTCGTTAACTGAACGGTAGGAGCGACCCGACGAAAACAAGGATGAAGGAAAATTGAGAATCATGGGAATAGATGCTGTAAATGGATCGGAGTCCCGTTCCACGCACCAAGTAGACCATGAGGCCCAAGCTGAAAGGTAACAGCGTCTACTTCCCAGGAATCGCATAAGAGGTCCCTAGTAGTCTGCGATAGTCCGCTCACTTGCCAGGAACACCGGAAAGAGTCCAAGCCACAAGGGGCAGACGGTCTTCCAAGAGAAGTGGGTGAAGATTCCCTTTGGGATCTGTGAGCAGGTCCGGAAAGGACGGTAGGAGTAGAGGGTCCTTGCATGAGGAGGCCAGGAGATCCGGGAATCATGGTTGGCTCTGCCACAAGGGCGTTATGAGAACCAGTGTCACCTGTTGCGTCCATATCTGGTGTAGTGTTCTCGCAATCATGGCAAATGGGGGAAAAAGCGTAGGCCCCGGTTGTCGGCCATTGTTGGAGAAAGGCATCCGTCGCATTGCTCTCCAGGTCCGGGAGCCAGCTGAAGAACTCCGGGGTCTGGTGATTGTTGCGAGAGGCGAACAGATCCAGGTGAAAGGGACCCCTCCAGGCTGCCAGGGCCCTGAAGACTCTCGTGTTCAGCCTCCAGTCGCTGACATCCCTCCAGTGGCGAGAAAACCAGTCGGCCGTGAGGTTGATCTCTCCGGGTAGGTATTCAGCCTGAAGTGCGATGTTGCGGGGTAGACAATTATCAAAGATGTCTCTCGTGATGTCCGACAGCAGGCGTGAGCGTGCACCCCCCAGGCGATTGATATATCGGACTGCGGAGACGTTGTCCATGCGCAGGAGGATGCAGCAGTTGGATTTTCCCCGGGCCAGGCTGCGGATCGCGAAAGATCCCACCAGGAGTTCTAGGCAATTTATGTGCATGGAGAGCTCCTGTGAGGTCCATGTTCCCCCGTGGAGATAGTCCCGTTGGTGGAGCCCCAGCCCCACAAGCTGGCGTTGGACTCCAGTATGAAGTCTGGGGAATCTCCGAATATGGCTCTGCCGTTCCAGGCCTGCATGCTCTCCAGCCACCATGATAGTTCCTCGCGAACTTCCGCCGTCACCGGGACGGGTTGATCGTACGTGGGCCTGCGGCGCAGGTATCTTGCCTTGAGGCGTTGCATGGCTCTGTAGTGGAGGGGGCCCGGAAATATGGCCTGAATGGAGGCGGAGAGGAATCCTACGATCCTGGCCAAGTTGCGTAGTGGGATGGAATCACGACGGAGAACTCTGCGAATCTCCTTGCGAATAGACAAGATCTTTGAGGCTGGTAGTCTCAGAGTGCATGTTGTCGAATCGATCTCGAAGCCCAGGAATTGTATCGTCTGGGAAGGGGTCAATTCCGATTTCTGTTGGTTCACCACAAAGCCCAGGGATTCCAGTAGTGTCACTGTGAGATGAGTGTGTTGACACAGTCTGCGTTCGTCGGAGCAGAAGAGAAGGAGGTCGTGCAGGTAGATGATGCATCGGATGCCCCTGGATCTCAGGTGGGCCATTACTGGTTTCAGGAGTTTGGTGAAACACCATGGGACCGAGCTGAGCCCGAAAGGGAGGCAGGTGAATTGCCAAGGACGGCCGTGCCAGAGGAAACGTAGGAGAGATCGACAGTCCGGATGCACTGGGACCGACAGGTATGCATCTTTTAGATCGAGCCTGGTGAACCAGTTGTTGCTTCACAGGAGGTCTCATAGTAGGTGGATGCCCTCCATCTTGAAGTGGCGGTACACTACGTATGCGTTGAGGTCGCGTAGATTGATGACAGGGCGGTATTCTCCCGTCTTTTTCCGGACCAGGAAGATATTGCTGAAGAAACCTCCCCAGTCGTGGGCCGGCTGGATAGCCCCTTCGTCTCAAAGCTCGCGTAGTTCCGCGTTGACGAGATAGTGGTCGGAAGATGACATGTGGATGGGGCGAGGAGGTCGTGTCTGAATGGGGGTCCCCACCAGGTCTATGATATAGCCCTGTACTGTTTGTAGAATCCACGTGTCTGAAGACAGGGGGCCCAATTCTGGAAAGAAAGGGAAATACGGCACGCGGAGCGGGTGCATGATAACAATGGAGGAATACGGGTGCTTACCTGTAGCAAATCGGGAACGTCCGCGGGATCCAAGGCCTCTTTCTGAGCCGTCTGTAATCTCTCGTTGGGTAGACGGTGTCGGTTGGGTGTGGGGACCTGAAGGCCAGAATCGGCTGGCGGCACGGCCCCATTACCGGCCAACCCTTCCAAAAACCCCTCTGGTGGGGTTGCTTCTAAAGACTCGGCGCATTGAGGACTGCGCTTTATTAAGTGAGGTGAACACGTTCACGTGTTTGTTAAGTTCCTTGAGGAACTGTTCACCAAACAGTTTCCCTTGTGCCTGGGGCCCAATCTCCTTTGTGCCAAGCTCTGCCAATTTACCGTTAATACGGTATAACGCTGCTTTCCGTCTCTCCGAAGAGAGCGTAACATTCGTGTTTCCAATGAAACAAAAGCACCGTTGTGCCCACTCACGCACATCATGTGCCCATTCCCTGATGTTTTTGGCAGAGAAAGAATCGGCCTTGGCATAGGCGTCGTCCGCCAGGTACATGATGCGGGCCAGGGGGCCAACGGAATCCAGCAGGTTGAGCGCCACATAGGCCTTTCTCTACCCCTCGACGAGGGTCTCTTCCACTGCGCATCATGAAGGTTGTCATAACCTTGTCAAACTCAGGGGTCTGAGCCACTTTATCTGGCAGGGAAGGGCGTGGGCATTCTGATCTAAGTCGGCTGCGGGCCTCTTTCTCTAGAGGCTTGCGGAGCCACAGGTGCATGAACCTGGAGAGGTGTTCCGGCGGTGACCAGTCTCCCGATCTGGGGTGACGTATGTTGCGGGGGTCGAACATCGCCTGACCCGAAGGGTCTAAAATGGTGTCTGAGTCAAGTGGAGGCTCTGCGTCTGCAGTGTCCTCACTACCTCCTGTCTGGGCCGCACCCAGGAGGGTCTCCCACATGAAAGCGGAGATAGACTTCTCATCCAAACCCCAAGCGTCGTAGTCCGAGTCAGAAATGTCAGCTTGCCACTCGTCTAGCACTGACATGGAGTGGGAAGGACCTTGCTCTTCGTCCGAAGAGTAATCCTGATGTGGGGCCGGGGTACTCGCTTTGGCAGATCTGCATTTGGCAGGCGCCTTACCCTTGAGTGGTTTGGGTGCATTGTCTTCGCCTTTCTCGTGGCGTTTCTTGGGGCAGGAGTCCTCCCTGGTCTGGTAGTCAGACATATCAGAATCCGACTTGTGGCGTGGTCACCTGCGGGCAGATTTGGGTACATCTGGAGCTGTAGCTCGTACCTTGGAGAGTGCCTTCTCCACAGAGGCAGCGACGGCTGCGTTGATCATGGCTTGGAAGTCCACAGGGACGTTCTGGGAGTCTTCCATGACAAGGGTAGGCTGTGATACACGTCACTAATAGGCACAGTACTAAATGAGGGGGACCCAGGTCTTAGATATAGGCGTAGGGTCAGTTGACATGGTGGTTGTGGTGGATAACAACACCACCCAGTTATAACCCCAGCAGGGTATAACTGCGCTCACCCATTTAGAGAGAACTGCGACAGCTAGTCTCCCAATAAGCAGCGTGGTACTTAGGTACTTAAAGTGGGGGCTCACCCCGGTTGCACAGGGTTGGAACCCTTAAGTGCAGGTCACAATATAAAATAGGCAGCAGCACTGATCTGACTGACCCAGCCACTGAGTATAGAAGTCTTCTGCTTGGTTGGAGTAAGCACAGGGCACAGGAATGCAGTATGAAATACAGTATGAGACCTTGTAAGGAAGGTGGGTGGCTGAGCAGATAATCCTTGGTACTCACAGGGATGATAACCACACGAAGGAGTAAATCCAGTGGGATACAGGTGGCAGACAGCTAAGACTGCAACCACTGAGTCCCCAATGAGATCCACGCCGTAAAACAAGATTGCTGCGTGAATCTCGCGATGACCGAGATCCAAAATGGCGGTCGCACGTGTAGGCCGCAAGCCGGGGACTAAATTTGAGGCCGGCCGCAGGCGGAAGCAGGCCGGCGCGGGAGGGGCCGCGATCGATTCCGGCTGCAAGGAGGGAGCCCAAGAGGGTACTCCAAGGTAACGGGGGGGGACCTAAGGGAAGCCAAAGGAGGGGGGGCCCAGGGAGTCCCAGGGCCGGTAGAGGGGCAGAGAAGGGGAATGGAAAAAACCCTTAAGGGGCTAGCCCAGTCCCACTGCCCAGAAAGATAAGAAGTGGAAAGGAAAAATTAGGTAAACAAATAACAATAATACAAATAAATAAATGGGTAAACCAAAGTAAACAGACTATACTAATAAATGAATAAAGCTCTGGGGGAGCCAAAAGTCTGAGCTGTCTGCGATGGAGCAGTAAAGAAAGAGGAAGTGTACAGGCAGCATGACCCTTATATATACTGTGCTGCTCATTGATTTAATGTTACTCTTTACGTTTTTACGTTTTTTTACTGCTGTGGAGTTTAGTAAAGAGAGTTAATGCAAAATAGGAAGCCTCCTGTCAAGACCCTGGGGAGATAGTGCAGCTAAGCGGACAAGGGCACATGTAGGAGTGTGGGGATAGATGCAGGGGAGTGTCTTGGGTAGTGTGTGGGAGGGGTTAGGTTCAATATAAGTTAGCGTGGGGGAGGTCTCACCTCAGTGCCACTTGGGATTCGGGCCAGCAAACAGCTTCCCGCCCACCCACCCCTTGTAGGATTAGTTAGTCACAGCGAGGCGGGGGTATGTCCTTGCCAATTAAGTTTGAGGGGTTATGTTTAAGGATGGAGTAAGTTTCATTATGTTTGCAGGTCTCAACCTCCCGTGCTTCAAACGGTTAACATTAGGTTGCCTGAGGTGTCGTGCCCATCGAGCGTGGATAAGGTCGGCTGATGGCGGGCATTGGAATGAAAGGATTTTTATGACGACGGGGGAGGTGAGAGGAAGTGGTGATTAGGAACCACTGTATGTTTATTGGCAAGGTTGGTTGGGTCACTGCATAACACTATGTGTTGAGTTATATGTTTATATGTTAATTTATGATTATTTATTTCGTTACAGAAAGAAGAGATTTAATAAAAAGTTATGGATGTGTTATACAGTAATTTATTTATGTTATAATAAATGCTGTGGCCTGTTCATCCATACTAAGTTGTTTGTCGTTATTGGGGGGTTTAATGGGGTTAGATTTGTTCTAGGCTGCATCGCGAATCCCCACTACGTACATACATGTTATAAAATTAGGGATTATTCTAGCGTCAGTGACCAAATAATCATTTTTTTTTTGAAGACAAGGCGATTCATATTTGCTTTACCTCCTTTACTGAATCCTCCCAGCAGCAAAGAAATAGTTAAACAGTTTGAATATAAAACAACCAATCCGAATACATCTAGTCAGTAATATATGGCTGTGAGACTCCTCCCAACTCCTCTTTCTTGATGCAGCCGGAATGTGATGTCAACCGTGTAATCTAGAAACTAATAATCTTCAAAGAGCCATAGCCAGCCATGTAAACGAAAGGTAGTCGAACCAGTAGATCCACAAATCCAGGATGTCGTGAAGAGTACGAAGATAGTTTCACACTAGAAAGAGAAGAACATTTGTGAAAGTATGGTGGGACTGGCAGATTGCCAAACTTACAAACTCCTAGCACTAAGTATGGTGAGGGCCACCATCTGGTGGCAGGAATAGTGGACGTCACTGTCAAATAACAGTCGAAGACAAGTAGAGACAGTCATCGGGAACCCATGCACTCCTAATTTCTCCAGTAATGATTGGACTTCCGTCCATAGTGGACGTATCCCAGTGCATTTTCACCACACGTGGAGCAAGCTCCCCTCCTCCCCCATGCATCTCCAACGTTTCGTGGGCACCGCTGAATATTTTGTTTAGTATGTGGGGTATCATATACCAACGGTAGAAGAGTTTCCTATGCGCCTCAATATGGGGATAACATTTAGTCCACTTTCATAAGTGGTTAAGTGCCCGAAGCCATCTAGCCTCTGTTAATAATCATCCACTAACCCTCTCCCAGTGGGATCTACAAGGCACCGGTCTTCCAGGTTGTAATTCTAGTCCAGCTTTATAACAGAGGGACAGAGCCTTTGGTTTAGTCTGGGCAGCTAGACACCTCTGCAACACCAGTTGGGGGTTTAAGGGCGAAGGGTCGGTCATAGTGGTGGCACCTGTAGGAACATGAGATACTATAATGCTTCGCACCTGTAGGTAAAGAAAGGTGTCACGCTCAGTGAGTCCCCAAACCTTCAAGTCGTGGAACGTTTTCATAGTTCGTCCCTCTAGTAAATGGTATATCTGTGTGATACCTAATTTTTTCCAACTGTCTAGGGAACCCACTGGGGATATGGTTTTAAATCACGGCTATCGGTGCCTTAGGATGAATCTTATCCCTGTAGCCCAGCTTGGTTAGGAAGTCATTCCATACTCTTAAGGTTAGTTCTTTAGTGGGGAGCAAGTCTCGTTCCAGGTTACGAAGGGATTTTGGGGTCCACATATAGTCAGTCATGGATTGGTTCGTAAAGTAAGCCCCCTCTAGATCTACCCATTGTATCTGTCCACTCGGGGCATGAAAAGCAATGCTCGTGGCTAGTAGAGAAGCTTGAAGATATATAGTCTTATGTTTGGTAGGCCCACCCCACCCATAGCAGGAGATTTCTGCAATAGAGCGAGTAATAATCTTGGTCTCTTACCACCCCAAATAAATGAACTGCAAACCAACTGTAGGACCTTACACCATGAACTTGTGATTGTAATTGGCAGCATGCAAAAGACATGTAATAGGCACGGGAGGGTCATCATTTTAAAGGAAGTAATTTTACCCAGCCAGGAGAGATTTGCAGTTTTACATCTTTGAGTATCATTTTTGCACAGCTGAATTAAGGGAGTGTAGTTATGTTTTACAATGCCCGCTAAGGAGGGAGTAATTTTGATTCCCAGAGATGTAAGGGAGGATGTCCTCCAATCAAAGGGGTAGGACTCCTTCAGTCTGGACACCGACTTCTGTGTGAGCCCAATGGGTGGTTCAGTTTGTAGTGCGATATGTCTCCGAACTCCCTTAGTAGTGACAGAAGATGGGGTAAAGCTGACATAGGGTCTGATAAGGCTATAAAGATATCACCTGCAAAGAGGGCAAGTCGGCAGTCCTGTCCTTTCATCTGCACCCCGTGGATGTGCCTGTGATTACGTATTTTGTGTGCTAAGGGATCAAGGGACAGAATGTATAGCAGGGGGGAAAGAGGGCAGCCCTGCCGGGTCCCATTAGTGATCAGAAATGAGTCGGACAGAAAGCCACTGTAGGAAACTCCAGTGGCTGGGGCAGTGTACAATGCCATAATTTGGGTGCTAACCTGTTCAGGGAAATTAAAACTTGGTGAGAACTGATTTCATATATTGCCAATTCAGTCTGTCGAAGGCCTTCTCCGCATCGAGTGCTAGGAAATGGCCTCCGGCACCCCCCCTTTCTATCTCCGCCAGGATGTCCAAGACCCTCCTGGAATTGTGTGAGCCCTGTCGGCCCCTCACAAATCCTGTCTGGTCTTTGTGTTGTAGATTCGGCAGGAGAGGAGCTAGCCGGTTGCTAAGAAGTTTTGCATATATCTTTGCATTACAATTAAGCAGGGATATTGGTCTAAAGTTTTTACATGCCGTTGTGGCCTTCCTTGGTTTGGGTAATGTTGAGATATGGGCCAACAACATTTCCTTTGGTAGGGATCCCTGGGCTGCACGGTGTTAGAAAGAGCCAGGAGGTGTGGGGAGAGTATTTGAGAAAAAGTGCGATAGTATACATTAGAGAGACCGTCTGGGCCTGGGGTTTTATGGGCTGGGAGTGAGGTTATTATTGCTGACACTTCTTCTATAGTGAAGGGCCTAGTGAGGTATGTTATGTCTTCTTGTAGTAGTGTCGGTAGGTGCAAGTCAGAAAGAATTCGTAGTAGGTAGCAAACTCGTTTGCTATGCCGTTAGGGTCTAGTATACGAACCCTTGCGGGTGTTCGAGGTAGGCGATCCTGGAAGCGACTGATCTCTTTTTAAGTTGGGCTGCCAATTTGGCTCCCGCCCTATTGCAAAGAAGTTATGTTTCAGTTTTCTCAGAATATAGGTTGTCTTAGAGAATTCTAGGTCTCTGAGTTGTAACTGTAGTTCCAATATTCTGGAATGACTAGAAGGGGTTGGATTATGTTTGTTGGAGTGTGTCAATGTGGTCAGTTCCGTGAGTATGGCTGTATATTTTTCTAGGCACTTTTTCTTAGCGTAACTGGCATGTTTGATAAAACTGCCTCTAATAAACGCCTTGTGCGCCAGTCAAATGGTATCAGCTGAGGAGTCAGGTGTTTTGTTTTCCAGGAAGTAATTGCGTAGGTCTTGTTCTACCTGTGCCACAATAGCTGGGTCTGTGAGGAGGCGCTCATTTAAACACCAACTACCTTGGCTCTGGTTGTTAAATTGCTCTTTCAGCAATGTGATTGGGGCATGGTATGACCATCACAGCCAATCTGCGTGTCTTGTACCTGTGGGAAGGAGGTGGCGGGGATCAGGAATCTGTCAATCCTAGAATAGCTTCTGTGTGCTGCTGTGTAACAGGAGTAATCTTTCTCTAGTGGATGGGACAGCCTCCATGGCTGAATGAAATTGTGGGGCATCAAGGTATGGCGGATGCGGGAGGACTGAACGTTTCTGTGCTTCCGTGTGTGGGCCAGTATGTCTTTATGCTGGGAAGAGTCTAAGTCAGCATCCAGTAAAAAATTGGTGTCGCCTCCAGTAATCACCTCCCTGAAAGAATGGGCCATGATCACCAGCCAATGCAAAAACATTATCCATAAATTCAAGTTGGTTTTCATTAGGGCTATAAACATTAATAAAAGTGAAAGGGTTATTGTTGACATAACATTGCAGAATTAAATACCTCCTTTTTTATCGCTGATTTTCCTGACTAGGGAGAATGTAACCTCTTTACTGATTAGAATAGATACCCCTCTTTTTTTAGTAGTATAGCAGGAGTGGAAATCAACAGAAAAATATTTGGAAGTAAATTTGGGTCGATGGCCCCACTTGAAATGAGCTTCTTGGTAAAAGGCTATATGTGCATTTTGGGATCTGGCCTCCTCCAGCACCAGTTGCCGTTTATTGGGCGAATTGAGCCCTAATGCATTTAGCGAGAAAAGTTTCAATACCATGGTATATCAGGTTGCTGAATGCGGAAGGGCAACTGGTGTGTGGTTGTCGTAGGGCTGGACCTCCACACCTCAGTGGACAGCATCAAGTACTCAGACCAGGAGAAAGGAAGGCAACTTTCTTGCATTGACCATAAAAGTAAAGAACTCAAATTAAAAAAACAACTATATACACAAAACAGTTTGTTGACTAGTGTCGGCATGTCAAGTAACGGTAACATGTGTGGCTTGTTCCCAAAGCAACCCCTGGGGTGTACGGCCAGTGGTATGCTTTGGCCATAAGTAAAAGCCATCTGTCGTATAGAGGACATTGGTCCCCGACCGTGGTGTTATTAATGATGGTTTTCAAAACAACCCATATGTTGTAAACTGGAGTCTACCACAATATAGGGCAAATCAGTTATGTTCCCACCTGCCCCCTCCGTCCCATCCCCCCTCCTCAACCCTTCCAAAGGAACACAATAATAATAAAATGGAAAGGGGAGAGAAGGGAGAGAAACAGTACAGCCCTGCATATTGCGCAAGGGCATTTAGAGCAGTTACCCAGCACCCGGTAATCAGGATGTTATGTGGTGTTTGATGTGGGTGATCTTGGACCAGTCCCGGTTAAGTTTAACAGGAGAGTGTCCATTGGAAGCAGGTTTATCAGCAGCTTGTACTGGTATATTCCATTCTATGAGTAATTTTCTGCCGCCATCAAGGGAGAGTATGGTCTTATCGGTTGTAGCCTATCTTAAAGCTGCTGTGATGGGGCAAAAGGTTTTCCGTTTGGTCATTGTAGCTCAGGATAAATCTATGAATAGCTTAATATGTTCGAACGGGCCTGGAGATGGTGTGTTACTCCTGGAAGCCTGCATGATCCCGTCCTTGAAAGTAAATAATGAAATTTAGTGATGACGTCTCCAGGGACAGTGGTTACCAGATGCCTGGGTCTGGGCAGTTGGTGTGTGAGGTCTAATAAAATGTCCGCATCTGTTAGGGCCAGTATATAAGACTGGAATAAATCTTGTACATATGCGGTCAACTCACAAGGCATCACGGATTGCGGGATTCCCCTTATCCGCACATTAGTGCGCCGGTCCTGGTCTTCATGATCTGCAACTTTCTCTTCTAAGGCTTTGAACTTATTCTCCAGGGAAGTGTAAGCTTAATGCTAAATTATTGTGAGCATCCACAATCTCTTCTGCTCTTTCTTCTAGGTGCGCCGTCCGGTCGCCCAGGGATTGTATATCCGCTCTGATGTCAGATGCCACTTGTAGCAGGTCTGTGTGGAAAGTGGATTTTAAATCAACCACCATTGCTTGTAGTGTAGCGTTTGTGACCGCCTGGGTGAGGTCTGAGGCACTGCGTGTTTGAACACGAGGCTGGTGATCTGGCGCCATTAGCGCCATCTTGGGTTTCAGGCCCAAATTCATGTGAGTGTGTTAAATGCATCTGGATCGAGCGCTGTTTTATGTTTTTTTGCACGATTTTGCTGCCATCAGCCTTGCTGGGTTAGTACCTACTTGTGGTGCTGTGCTTAGGGGCTGAATGCTGTGTTATCACGCTGTAAACACCGCCGGTCGCAGGAGCTCAGGGTTTACACGTCCGCACTCGTTCTCAGCTAGTCCATGCCCCCCTTTATATTTGCTGTTTTTTGCTAAGAGTAAATGAAAACCCGAATTAGATTGAGGCCGGAAATAGAAGGTACGGAAGGTAGATTCCGTTGACCAATCTGCAGAGGCTAAAATGTCCGAAAGGGAACTCCCCGCGATAAAGACACCGAAGCGGCGCCAAAGGAGGCCTCAAGACCTGCAAGGCGGAGGAGCCACCTGATCCACCAAGCAATCGTGGGACAGGACAGAGGATTAGGAGGACGAACATAGGACACAAAAAGGAGGTCCCTATGGAGCTCGGAGAAGATCCAGAGGCAGAAGCAGAGGGTAATCTGTGGACATTTCTAAGACATTGGGATACCAAGGTTGGGCTCTCCAGAGAGGAGTTATTAACAGGACCGTGACTCCCAGAACCCTGAGGCGATGGAGAGAGTGTGAGGAATCATGGAAAAAGGTGGAAACGCATAAGCTCCCGTCGACGGCCAAGGTTGCAGGAAGGCGTCAACGGCTTGAGACATCGGGTCCAGTAGCCAACTGTAGAAGGCGTCTGTCTGACGGTTCAGTCTGGAGGCAAACAGATCCAACATGATGGGCCCATGAAGCCGATGCAGATGATGGAGAGTCACAATTTGAGCTCAGCAGAAACAGCAAAGTCTGGTTGTTCAGACATTTGGCTAAAGTGATGAAACTAATTAACAATTGAAGTAGAATTGGTGATACAACAGGCGGTCACCCTGTGATAATAACTGGGGGTCACCCATGTGTAAAAGGGGGTCACCCTTTGAAGTCAAGCTAGGGGTCACCCAAGTGGGAAAATGGAGGTTACCTAAAGTGTAGTAATAAGTGGGGGCCACCCACAGTATTTATTTAAAAATAATACCAATTAAAAGATGCAGAAGCAAACAAGCGGAAACCAATGTACCGCTGTAGCAAAAAATCAGGGGTCACCTGTTATAATCAAGGGGGTCACCCTTGTGGCAGATTTATTGTTTGCATCTAATAATGATGGTAACAGATATTGCAGGAGGAAACACCATTATCGAGCAAGTTGTCTGAACTTGTCAGTGGGGGAAACAGAGAGAGAGGTGCTTAGAATAACTGTATAAAATAAGATATAAACAAAAAAATAATAATGAAATTATAGAACCTACCTTGGAACCAGTAGGAATAGCTAAATAACCACCAAAACACTATGTCCTCGGTGCAAGACAGGCAGAATAAGCGCAGGAAAGGAAAAAATGAAGCTGCAAACAGATCGCGGCAATATTCTTCTGAGAGAGAGAGCAAATAGCAACTCAGAAACACAGCCGCGGCCAGATCGTGGTCAGCAAAAGACCATGGGCAGTAATAGTGGAGTAGGACAAACACACAGTGGGTAACACAGGGAATGCTGTGGGGATCCCAAAGTGAGGACCAAGGCCCTGTGGGCCGACATAGGTCGGCCCCGAGGGTAGAGACCCAGTAAACAAACGATATAAAGAAAAATAAGCCAAAATATAAACAAGATATAGAGGTAATAAAATAAAAGAGACAATTAAAGTGTAAAGTGTATTAGAAAAAAACATATAAATATACATAAACCTATAGTCAAAGGCTTGTATAATTAGAATGGACACACCTGGGAAGCAAGCAGCAAAAAAAGAGGAGTTGGGAGGAGTCTCGCAGCCATGTATTACTTATTAGATGTATTTTAATTGGTTGTTTTTTGTTCAAACTGTTTAACTATTTCTTTGCTGCTGGGAGGATTCAGTAAAGGAGGTAAAGCAAATATGAAATCTCCTGTTTTGCAATAAAATTATTTAATTCCCACCTAGAGAGAAGGTTTCGACCTGGGCTATATTACAGGACCACTATAGGCACCCAGACCACTTCAGCTTAATAAAGTGGTCTGGGTGCCAGGTCCATCTAGGGTTAACCCTGCAACTGTAAACATAGCAGTTTCAGAGAAACTGCTATGTTTATATTAGGGTTAATCCAGCCATTAGTGGCTGTCTCATTGACAGCCGCTAGAGGCGCTTCTGAGAAGACGCCGACGTCCATAGGAAAGCATTGAAAACTAATTGAATGCGCGTGTGGTTCTTGCCTCGCATGCACATTCTGCGGATGACGTCGGAAGAAGGAGTAGAGTCCCCAGCGCCGAGGGAGCCTGGCGCTGGAGAAAGGTAAGCGTTTAACCCCTTAACCCTCTTGTGTCTGGCGGGAGGGGGGCCATGAGGGTGGGAGGGACCTATTAACACTATAAGGCCAGGAAAATTAGTCTGTTTTCCTCTCAATATAGTGGTCCTTTAAGGGTTTTAATTGCACAGCATTGTACTGTTGACAAAGCGTAGAGGGACACAAATTTTTTTGGTTTCATCAGGCACGTGACATGACTCTCTCGTGCCCCGTTTTTTTTAAAATGCACAGTTTCTAATTTTATTACTGTTGCTCTATCAATAGTGTTACTTGTTTTTCATTTATATAGATACTGAATAAAGAGAAGATCAATTTAATGTTAAAACAAAACAAACCTATTTTGTCACAAACTGTTTTTTTTTTTTTTTTAATTCTTTATTTTCTGTTGTGCATGAGATAACAATATGCTTACTCAGCCACGATAGCCATTGTAAGCGGTAACAGGCATAACAATCAAAACATGACCAATTAGTATACAGCACAATTTTGTTGAGAGAAAACGTAGACAGTGGATATATATAACATGGAATGCAACTCGCCCTCTTCCAATGTAGCATATGTCGTGCTAGGCAACTGGCATTCTTTAAAAGTGTTGTGTATCATGTCAGGTTACTCAGACATTATTAAGGACGTATGTATCGTGTCAAGTATCCTGCACAAGTTTTTTAAAAAGCATAGGATAAGTTGATAGTTTGCACAAGCATGATGCACAATCTGTTCTTTTAAGGAGTTTTTTTCCTAAATGTAATTCCCCATAGGGGTTTATCTCGGTATGTGCAGCATTTTAAAGCAAAACATTGAATACATACTCCAGGTACCATGACCACTTCAAATAACTGAAGTGGTTATGGTTCTTGGAGTAACACTTTCAAAGAAAGATGCTAAATGTAAGCACTGTATTTATAAATGCCCTCAGCAGTATTGATCTTACTTCACCTGTTGTTGCCTTAAAAAAACAATGCTAGACCTTGTGAACATTTTCAGTTCTCTACAACATAAACAACTGAAAACATATTTACCACCGCCAACTTATATCTGGACCTTGTCTGAAAATTCTGTTATGTCATGAAAACGGGGAGAAATAAAGATACAGAATTTCACCCCACTGTGACACATGGCGGCTGCATTTCAGAATATAACATGTGATAAAATGTATTTGAATACGAGTAAATTTTGCCAACACTTTGTTTTTGTCTCCGTTCCCGCCCCATGTCGACCTCCAAACAGGAAGATAGACTGCAGCAAACGTGGAGTTCCTGGGCATGATTTGAACCAGCTGTTGGGTGATATGCTTAATGTATATTTGCTTTTGATGAGCGCACATTTTCATCTAAATATTTAATAACACACACACTTTTTTGTTTTGTTGTAACCTTTTGAATATTAATCAGTTACTTTGAATTGATAGTCTCCTCGTATTTGGAACACCAGAGGTGAGTCTTCACCTAGTCCATGTCTCAATCACCAGATTGGACGGCCTGAATCCAATTACAGATTACCGAATTTACGAAAAATCCCAGTCTCAAGATTCTTATGAAAAGACCGCATTGATTTACCGTAATGTTTATAGGACTGTTTTGCAATGCTGTGGCCATGATGTCCTCATCTCCTTGTCGATATAAATATAGAGCCAGGCTATGAACGGAAACATTGAAATGGCAACAGCAATGTATAGTCTGAATCCTCCGACAGACGATCTGTTTGAAACAAAGAAGAACATATGACACGAAATACACAATATTGGTGATTTATTTTATTTATTTTTTCAGAAAAGGAAAGAATAGTCATAAAAGAGAAAATAAAATAGTTTAAAACTTACTTTTCGGATTTCCTACAAAGTAGCAGCCAAGCTGCAATTATCATTAGTCCAGATAATTCTCTATGGAGACAGAATAATTCCACAATGATCTTATGGCAATAGTTCCCCATTGTAACATTTAGTTGCTGGGTATATTCTGCTGAGCATAACACTATCATATCATAAGCAAAGCATTACAAACATTGTTACTAGCGTATAAACTTCAGGTTCGGTAGGCTCTCCCTACTTGGATCTTTAAGGGAATACTATAGCAACTTAAACAATGTTGGCTTAATGAAGTAGTTTTGGTGTATAGACCATGCCCCTGCAATCTCACTGCTCAATTATTTGCCATTTACGAATTAAATCACTTTGTTGTAATGTTTAATCTTCATTTATTGCACAGGCTGTTTAATTTAGAATTTCTTATCTCCTGCACTGTTAATAACCTGCTAGATCCGCAGTCACCATGTGTGATTAAAAGTCAATTTACAAAGCATGAGATAGAAATTTCTAAAGTAGGTTAAGGTCTGATTGAAAACAAAACCTTTTTTTTAATGCAGGCTGTATCAGTCACAGCCAGGGGAAGAGTGTATATGGTGGCATAAACAGAAACAAAAGTGATTTAATTCTGATCTCTCTATACAACAATTGTGAGATATGCTATTGTGATGAGTGATATATTATTTAGATATATTTTAGCCAGTATGTTTTAGCTAGACATTTAAGTTGTGCAAATCGTACCTGCCTTCCTCCTCGTGCAATATGCTTTTTCTTCTGTAAAGATACAACTGTCCCAAAAGATAACCAGCACCACTTACACAAATTACAGTATGAAGATCTGCCAGTGTACTCCAGATTACATGACCTTAGAAAATGAAGAATATTTAAGATCAGAGGCAGGCTTGACTAATCCATCAATATGGGGATGAATAAATGGACAAAATGTTTTGGGAACCTAGCAATCTTGCCTTTATTCCAATCTGCTAGTATAGGGCTCCACCCCTAATCTGCCTCCTTGGCTGAAATTATCAGAAGTGATAATCTCAGCCAATCACAATGCTGTCCCATAGAAAAGCATGGATTGGCTGAGATGGTCAATTCCGATCTCAGTCAAGGAGGCGGAGCAAAACGCCATCCGGCCAATCAGCATCTCCTCATAGAGATGCATTGAATCAATGCATCTCTATGAGGAAAGTTCAGTGTCTCCATGCAGAGGGTGGAGACAATGAATGTCAGTCACACCGTGCAGCACTGCCCCAGGGAGCACCTTTAGTAGCACTGGGGGTGTCCCTATGCTATAATGTAAACACTGCCTTTTCTGACTATACTTACCAGAACAAATACATTAAACTGTAGTTGTTCTTGGTACTATAGTGTCCCTTTAATAAAGGAGGTCACGAAATATATGACACATAGAAAAACAACTCTACAACCTCATGTAGTGGTTATGGTACCAGCAAAATCCGTCACACCTTTTTAGCACAGTTTGACACTTTTCTGGGTTACGACTGACACCCGCGCTTTATTTAGTCTTCTTAGAGCTGAAAAGCTAGATGTTGTTTTTTCACTACGACTACCAGGAATCCGTCTTCTGCAGCTCGAGAAGACGAGATGTAGCAGTGGGATCCAGTAACTGCCCAACCATGTTAAAACGGTTTGAAAGCATAAGCTTGATTAAGGAGTTAGCAAAGTACTATAGCGGGCTTGGAGTGTTCTTTTAACCCCTTAAGGCCCAAACTTCTGGAATAAAAGGGAATCATGACATGTCACACATGTCATGTGTCCTTAAGGGGTTAAATCTGCAATTCCTCTGGTAAAGTCCCGACAAGTCACAGTTTAGTGAACACTATTAAATACAGAAATGTGTATTCTGCCCCCAGTGGCTATTAGTGGCATTGCAGGTAAACATTTAACCCCTTAAGGACACATGACATGTGTGACATGTCATGATTCCCTTTTATTCCAGAAGTTTGGTCCTTAAGGGGTTAAAGGACCACTCAACACCCATAAAGCTTGCTGAAGTGCTTTATTTTTATGGCTTATACTATTTAAAGCCCAGTTTGTAAAGGTTCAGATTTCATTGAGAAAGCAGCACTTTTATAGAGATAGTTTGAACCCCCACCCACAAGCTGTTAATCAAACAGCAGGGGAGTTTTACTTCCTCCTTCTTCACTGTGCCGGTGGCGCGCTCTTGTACAGCACGCCTAACTCGCACAGCATTTAAATTTCATCTGTAATGCCCTCCATTCAAATAGAATGACTGCGAATCCACACCTTCGCGCATGTGAACATTCTCCAGGACATACTTAAAAATGAGAGATATCTCAATGTATCCATCCTGGTAAAATATTTTATAAATAAACATATACTTCTAGATGGAAACTGGCAGCAAGAGTTCAGGAGAGCCGTACACTATTAGACACAGCTCTCTGTTCGCTCACAACGCCGTGCGCACTTGTGGGCAGAGACTTTAAAGAAACAGAGGCCCCTGAATGAGCAGCCTCTGATTGGATAGTTCTCTTCCAAGGAAAAGGGAAGGGCTTGCAGAGGCTGCAGTCACAAGAACTGCAGCTTTTTATCAAGTCTTTTAGCATATACCACCAATGGCTACATGCATAAAAATGCATGCATGTATTCTTTGGTGGTATATCTATTTAACAGTGTTTTTTGTTTTATTCTTATATAGTGTGGAGAGGTCCTTTAAACAGCATTAAATTCAAGTTGAACTATGGACTTGCAAGTTGACATGCATAGTCCCCAGTTCTACTTGTAGTTAAAGGGACGATATGGTGGTTTTAACACTATAAGGTCACTAATATAGGTTTGTGTTATTGACCCTATAGTGTTCCTTTAATGTTCTACCTGCACTACAGCGCTTTAAAGAGACAGTAATAATTTCCTTTATTTCCAGCTGATGTCGCCAGACTGCTACGGTCATAAATCTCTCAGAGCCTTCACTTTAACAATGCAAGTAGCTAAGAAAGGTTCCGGCGAATTATTGTTCACGGGTTGCACTAACATTACATCATACCTGTTATGTATGGATTAACACTAACCAGAAGAATAAGGAACGCAGGAATCAGATACAGAGCCTGGAGGGAAACAATAAGGGGATGCTTAGTAATTCGCAGAAAATGGGGTCTAGTCAGTAAACAGTGAACTGCAAATTTAATTTCAAAATGACAGACAAAAGTAGTTGATTTAGAGAGGTTCTCCAACTCAACTACAAATCACAGTTTGACTATTTTAGCCTGAATTTTACAATTTGGTTTTCAAGTCACAAAATCTTAATGTGTGATCTCATAACTGCTTGTATTTCGCACGCAAGAGCTAACAGAAGCTTCAAGCAGGAACTTCCCAGCTTTTAAAATCGAAAAAGGAGAGGCAGAGAGCAGCGCCCAGGGACACCAGGCAAGAAGTTAAACCAAATATTTTAACTGCTTGCACCAGTGCACTCCTGACACCACAACAGCACACTATAATGGTTATGGTACTGTTCCTGTAAATGCATCTTAAAAAACAAAAAATGGCAAAATTGACAACTCCAAGAGATATTTAATTTAAAAAGCAAAAAACAACACATCTTAATCTATTCATTCTTCAAGTAAATAGCTTTTCTAATCAATAACTAATTTTCATGTTGGACTTTTTTTTTTTTTTTTACAATAAATATTCTTATTAAAGGGACACTATAGTCACCTGAACAACTTTAGCTTAATGAAGCAGTGTTGGTGTATAGAACATGCCCCTGCAGCCTCACTGCTCAATCCTCTGCCATTTAGGAGTTAAATCCCTTTGTTTATGAACCCTAGTCACACCTCCCTGCATGTGACTTGCACAGCCTTCCATAAACACTTCCTGTAAAGAGAGCCCTATTTAGGCTTTCTTTATTGCAAGTTCTGTTTAATTAAGATTTTCTTATCCCCTGCTATGTTAATAGCTTGCTAGACCCTGCAAGAGCCTCCTGTATGTGATTAAAGTTCAATTTAGAGATTGAGATACAATTATTTAAGGTAAATTACATCTGTTTGAAAGTGAAACCAGTTTTTTTTCATGCAGGCTCTGTCAGTCATAGCCAGGGGAGGTGTGGCTAGGGTTGCATAAACAGAAACAAAGTGATTTAACTCCTAAATGACAGTGAATTGAGCAGTGCAATTGCAGGGGAATGATCTATACACTAAAACTGCTTTATTTAGCTAAAGTAATTTAGGTGACTATAGTGTTCCTTTAAGTTTCTTTTTCCTGCAAATAATTAGATCTCTATATGTGACTTACTATCCATAGCTCGGCATCTGGATCATTTTTCTGAAAAACACAAGAGAAAACAAATTTGAGTTCATTTATTTATTTACTGTGAAGTTCACAAATGTATAGATCAAAGATCAGCAAACGCAGAGTCTTAGCATTCCAGGCCAAATATTGTTTACACACACTGCTGGGGGACACACGAAAGGTATTTTTTTAGGAGCTGTGCCTGGCTCCGTGCTTGCTCATGCTGTTCAAACTTGAACGACTCAATGAGGAAGCTAGATTTCTGGGTGTGAGGTCAGAGGGACGCACGTGGAGTCAGGATGGTGAATAAACAGGTCAGGATCTCAAAAAAGGGTGAGGATTTAAATAGGCACATATTCAGTGATTTCTTCTTATTAATTTTGATGTGGTCTGCACTCCCTGGAGGTCATTGCCCAAAACTTGGGAGGCCAGACCAGAAAGGAGGCAGGCTCGCCAGCATGCGGGAAAAACACACTTCGGGTGTACGTACAGGCGCCCCAATTATGGCAGAGCTTGCAGAGGGCACTGCTGAGGCGCCCTCTGCACGGTCTTAGTGCCCCCAAAACTGTGCAAGTGCATCTAATTACGCTTTACTGGACACCAGGGAAAAACCTGCGATGGTAGGGCAGGATTGTTAGACAGAGGCTGTCCTGCCAAAATCGAAAAAGTTCGGTGGCTGTGAATATCACTGCGAAAAGCCTTATTCACAGTCCTGTGAACCGGAGGACTGTGTATAAATTGTTAATGGCGTAGTTCCTCTCAATGTGATAAACTACTTATACCAAAAATTCTTGTTAATCTGAGGTTTGTGAGTAAGACCAGCTGACTCATGAGTGGAGATACCTTTTGTCAATTTTTGACATTTTCCCCGACTGTCAGGGAAAGGAGTTCTATCTATGGAAGATCCCGTGTTGTACTATGTTGTACTCTTGCACATGCCTCAGCTAAAGAGGACCAGCAGGGAAACCATGGCGGAAGCCACGATGGGCAGATTCAGTAAGAATAACTCACCATTCCCTGCACACCGCGGCCCCTGGACACAGCGGAGCAGTCGACATCGGAGGTCCTTGCAAACTATGCAAAGACCCCAGACGTTGACAGACCCGCTTTAAATAGGAGTATCATACTTTTTTACTGCATCATTTATACCATTTATTAGCTAATAGGGTTAATCTTGTAAAGCATGCCTTTAATTAAAGAAGGAATCTCAAAGAAATACCTTGGTAGGTTAACGGATTCCCTTCCTGCAGCATATGATTGCTATGTACTACAAGACAACAACTAAAATGGGAATTTAAGGTCAAAAGCTTAACTGGAAAACAATTATCTAAGTCAGCTATGCTTTCAGCTGGCCGCTCTGGCCTTAAATTTGAAATTCTCTTTAAATTTACTTTGAATTCTCACTTTAGGGTACTACCCTGATAATAATGATTGACACAGAGCCGAGATAGATGCAGCCAGCTGCAGGATAAAGATTTGCATGTAATCCCAGCTACCCCCCTGCCAATACATATTTGTTTAGTTTAGGGATAAGTAAACGAAATCTTAAAAAGCCTGAGAAGTGGCAGTTCTACTAGAATCTCAGGCTTCCCCAAACGCCGGCCCTCCAGATGTTGCTGAGCTACAACTCCCATAATTCTATGAATGAAATAGATAGACCGAGAATCATGGGAGTTGTAGTTCAGCAACATCTGGAGAGCCGGAGTTTGGGGAAGCCTGTACTAGATGGTCAAGAATGTGATCGGTCCACATTTACACAGAACCAGAGGTTTACCTGCCCCTCTTAAGGTGAGCAGTTTTTTATAATCTGGCCATGAAAGGGTTAATATTTCACCAGCATTGTGTTACTTTTCTGCAAATGTAGCTCAATGTATCCACTATCCTGCCAGCTACAATATACTTACTTGCACATAGGCTGCCAGGCCAAAAAACACAGCTATTAAACCATTGCATACTCTCCACAGCCTCTGCTGGCTTTTATCACAAGATACTGAGCCTGCAGGGGACAAGTTCTGCTTCCTGTCAGATCCCTGTTTATCTCTGGTCTCCATTGCTTTGATAATCAGTCTGAGGAAAGTGTCTCCTGCTGGGTAGAAAGAGTTATTCATTAATCCAGCCTGCTCCCAGGCATTGGTTCTGCATTTCCTGTTGTAGAAGTGAAGCTCAGCCCAGTCTCAGTTCTGCTGTTAACCCTTTCACTGCCAGCAAGTGAGAAAAACTATTTTAGCATCCAGTTAACTGATTGACTGATCAGATGCCCACATAAATACAATCAGATACAGAAATATATGTATTTATTCATATACATACATTCCTCTGTCCTTTTATAGGAGAATAGGACTTGCAATGCATACCTCCAAAGTGTCCCTATATACAAGGGACAGTCCCTATTGTCGGCCCAAATCGTTTCTATCCTAATGTCTCTCTATTGTAGGAGCTCCATAGTGTTGGTGTGTCTGAGTGTATAACAGAGCTTCACAGCAATAATACTCCCAGTAATGTGTCTGAGTGTATAACAGAGCTCCACAGCAATAATACTCCCAGTAATGTGACTGAGTGTATAACAGAGCTCCACGGCAATAATACTCCCAGTAATGTGACTGAGTGTATAACAGAGCTCCAAGGCAATAATACTCCCAGTAATGTGTCTGAGTGTATAACAGAGCTCCACGGCAATAATACTCCCAGTAATGTGACTGAGTGTATAACAGAGCTCCACGGCAATAATACTCCCAGTAATGTGTCTGAGTGTATAACAGAGCTCCACAGCAATAATACTCCCAATAATGTGACTAAGTGTATAACAGAGCTCCACAGCAATAATACTCCCAGTAATGTGTCTGGGTGTATAACAGAGCTCAACAGCAATAATACTCCCAGTAATGTGACTGAGTGTATAACAGAGCTCCACAGCAATAATACTCCCAGTAATGTGTCTGGGTGTATAACAGAGCTGTACAGCAATAATACTCCCAGTAAGGTGTCTGAGTGTATAACAGAGCTCCACAGCAATAATACTCCCAGTAATGTGTCTGGGTGTATAACAGAGCTCAACAGCAATAATACTCCCAGTAATGTGCTATTAAACTACAATAAATGTGTTTAGAAATCAGTCTGTGTAAATAAAATACATTATTCTTGTTCTAGATTACATTTTAACTGCATAAATTATTATTAGTAAGTCACTCCCCTTGCCACACCCCTAAAAAAATGAAAGCAGAAAGATGCTCAAATTAAAGAGTTAGTCCAACCACCATGACCACCTCAGTGATTTGAAGTGGTCATGGTGGTAGGACTCTGTATGTGCAGTGGTTCTGCTTGAAATCCTGCACATACTGAGATATCAGCACTTGTGTGCCAGGGACTAGTTACACGCCAGACACATGACTTTTTGCAGCACAGAACTTTTTTCCGGGCTGCCTAATGTCAATTGTATTCATAAAATACGTTCATCCTCTGACAACATATGTAATGTGCCCCTCTGCAAAATGTAGGGGGTGGGTGGGGAAAGGGGAGGGGGGATAATTAGTAGGGCCCCATAGGGCATTTTAAATGATAAATGCACCACAATTTTTGTTATCCCCTGTGGTTAATCCAGATAATTGTGCATTAAAAAAAAATGCAAAAAAAATAAAAAAAGAGATACTTGTCTTTAAAGGGTTACTCCAAGCACCATGCCCACTTTAGTGATTTGAAGTGGTTGTGGTGCCTAAAGCCTGTATTTGCAGCGTTTCACTAAGACACACTACACATGTAGGTGTAACTCCGGCAGAGTCCATTATCTGTATATGTCCTTGCCATGCACAGACGCTCATTCATTGGCTGAGAACGGACGGCTGGCACTCTCAGCCAATGAATGAGCATTAGGATCACAATATGACTTTTGCTGCTCTGCAGGCTACAGAGGTTATGATGCTTGGAGTAACTCTTTAAAAGTATACTCCAAGCACAATGCACAGCATTGGCACGGGCTCCTAGCAGATGGAGCACCAGGAGCTAAAAAAGTCCAAGAAGAAGATGACTTTGCCAAACACCCAGTAGCCACTGGACACCAAGTGGTGGAGTCACCATCGGGGGTCTATGGAAATTATGCAAAGATCCCAGAAAGTGACAAGGTCGCTTTAAAATGTGTTTAATAATTGTCAGTCGTTTGGTCTTATTCTGAGTTCTAATTAAAGATTCTTTCACTGAACTAACAAAAATTCAAGATTTTAACTTCTTAAACAGGCTTTGGCAAATTCCTTTATTTTTTTTATGTCATAACAGTGTTTCCCATAACTTAGTCAACTTCATCATATATACTAGACCAGGCATAGGTAACCATCGGCACTGCAGATGTTTTGGACTACACCTCCCATGATGCTTTGCCAGCATTGTGGGTGTAAGAGCATTATGGGGAATGTAGTCTACAAAATCTGGAATGCCGAAGGTTGCCTACCCCTGTCCTAGACTGTAAGCTCGTTTGAGCAGGGTCCTCTTCAACCTATCATTCCTGTAAGTTTTCTTGTAATTGTCCTGTTTATAGTTAAATCCCCCCCTCTCATAATATTGTAAAGCGCTACGGAATCTGTTGGCGCTATATAAATGGCAATAATAATAATGTAGCTCCTCTGAGCCATTGCAGACTAGAACCAAAGCTCTGTGGGTGGTCATGTGACCCTTCCCAGTCACGTGATCTGGCGTGTGTACGTCACCAGGAAGCATTTCTCCCCGGTCATGTGATTTTGTATTTCTTGTAACCAGTAGGCTGGTCTTTTTGGTCACGTGACCCAGTTATGTCCGTAACCAGGAAGCTGGGCTGCATGGTCATGTGACCCAGGTATGGTTGTACCAAGGAGGCTGGGCTGCATGGTCAGCTGACGTCTGTGCAGTGATGGGGGGGGGTGTCTGCTATAGGAAGTCACTGTCACTGCATTGCAGTCTTGGTGTCTTGGCAGCCCATAGCAGTATTCCTCCCATTAACCTGTACTCACCAGCTCATGGGGTAAGATCAACATGACATAAATCTACTGGTATAGCATCACTCTACCTTTAACCATTTATATATCACTGGCATTCACTGTATTCCTCTTATATTTAATCTTCATATGTTAATTTGTGCAACTGAAACCAGTGAATACATGATATTATTCTCAGCAAACAAGACTGGACATCAGTGTGTTAAGGTGGATTACAGATATTTTTTTTTTTTTACGATATTTTTACGATAAATAATAATAATGTTTCCGGGGTATAGATTGCACATGGTCATAGTGTGAGATTTTCTCAAGATCCCATAAAGAAAAACGTATAAATATCACAAACCATTGTGTAAGCTTTTCACAAGATCCCAGTATAAGGACAATAAACTGTCACAAGTGATAATGTGAGCTTTTAGCAAGATCCCCAAAAGAGACTTTAAACTGTCACAAGTTATAATGTAAGCTTTTCAGATGATCAAACAGGAGAACTTAGACTGTCACAAGCCAGGGTGTTAACTTTTCACAAGATTAGACAGAGGAATATGAATACTGTCACAAGCATTTCTTCATTTCCGATTAAATTATCTTCCAAATGCTTCCAGCTATAGTGTGATTCGCCCCTCCTCCTCCCCCCAAGATCCCATAAGAGACTTCAGACTGTCACAAGCAATGATAATGTGAGAATTTCACAAGATTACACAGAAAAGAATTCATACTGACACAAGTCAAAGCGTGAGCTTTTAACTCCCATAAAGAAAAACATCCATTTATCATAATCAAAAAGTATGAGCTTTTAACAAAATTTCATAGAAGAGGTTTAAGTCGCAAGCCTTAGTGTATAAAAGGGGGAGGGGGCAGCGCCTTGGTAAAGTCATCAGATCCATGCTGATATAAAATGTTAGAAAGTGGACAAAAAAAAACCAATATATATATATATATATTGCAGCAAATTAGTATATTGATTGTAGGAAAAAATGGAATTGCACTTACAATGATACTCCTTGGCGGTTTAGTCCCCGCCTGTGGATATGAACTTGGTCCATAAGGGGTAGTCCAGGTATATAGAAATAAAGCAAATAGTCACCCTAGTATGTCAGGTATCTTAGCTTTGCGTTAATATATACAAAGTGCCCACTCTCATTTATTGGAGCCTTCTGATGGCTCCTAGTGCAAAGCGTAGAGTGGAAAGATCCCCACTCTTGAATATATTTAGGTTAAAATCCACACCGTGGTGTATATTAAAAAAATAAAAATTAAATATAGTGCTCTCTGTGTGATGAAATAAAATAAAAGGAGATGTGCTCACTGGCTTAAATCAAAAAGTGTTTTTGGTCAATCTAAAAGGCATAGGTGGAATATTGCCCACCAAAGGAAAATGATGTCCAAATGTCAGTATGATAACAGGAAGTTCCAAGGGTAGTAAAAATACACTTATATATACTTTATTGAGAAATTGTTATACAAACAATAAAAATAGAATGAAGTAACAGACTAACATGTTACAGATGCGTAACAGTCTAACGCATTCCACAAGATAGCCAGCAAAGGCTAACAGAAATGTTTTCAAAGTTTTTGTGTTATCCTTTGCTGGCTATCTTGTGGAATTTGTTCTACTGTAGGCATCGTGGTTCTCAAGGATGAGATTTAGAGGGTGGAAAGCACATACCAATACATTTCGTGAGTTTGGAGATATATATTTTTTATTTTAAGCATTCTTTATTTATGTACAGGCATGCAAGCACAAAAGCTATGTTCAGGAGCGGTGGGACCTGACTGCCATGCTGATCAGTCAGAGTTCTGCAAGAAACAACTGAAAATCTTGCTTTTGGAAGCTTTATCACTTGCAGTAACATAATATTTCTGTCTATAAGTCACCTGGCAGTCTTGATGGCATCTGATTATGCTTTTCTGAGGCAGCTCGACTGATGCTTGGATGATTTTGAGAGAAGCAGACCTGCAGCCTACAAGTGGCTGATTCCTTTACCGGTTATCTGCAGCCTGTGTCTACTAACAGGGTCTGGTTCTTCACCATCTTCCCCTCTCCCTGGTTATCCCAGAAGCAATCAGATTATTATGGCTAGGAACACAGCTCAAAACAAGACAAGTGTGCCCTGTCTTGCCCAAACTGGCAGACGCTGTATTATTACTCGACACCAAGGGCCAGCAGTCTTCTACTCTGGCCAAACTAGACCAGTTGTTTGCACATTATTGGGCCAAGCCAAGCCTCTGACTACAGTTCCTTCAACTAGGAATGATGCCCATGCCTCCGAGTGTCTCTCTCCCCCAGGCAGGGCATATCTATGAGAGGGCACTTACTCATACTTCCTCACGATGCTGTAGGCCTCGTATCCAAGGTCTTGCATGCAAGTGAATGATGGAGATCTCTCTCACTGCTACCTATGTTCCAGAAGGCAGAGGTTAATGCCTTACCCGAAGTCTGGAGTTCACGATCTGCTGCTGTGGATACTGCAACCCGCCAGGCTTTTTGTCTGGACTCCCGCTTGCATACAGACTTCTGGCTGTATGTAGTAATATGGACTTTTGCTCAGCTTTTTTCTTTATAATTTCCTACATTTGACAGGCATCAATTAGGAATCTTCAACCAGTGCATGTGTTATCCTTTATTTCCTTTTCATTAATCCTCTAGCAATGTGTTTTCTTTGTCTTTATTTTATTATATTCTTTTAAAAATGGGCAATCATTTGTAACTTACTAAGACGGATATTGTTATTCTTACATGTTGTATCTTTTACCTCTATATTTGTTATCGACTAATATTTCGACCTTATCTGTAGATTTTCATTGCACGTCCAAAAAAAACCAACATTTTGGTCAGTACAATTTTCTAAAAAGTCATGCAGATTTGCAGATTTTACAGTTTTGAATTAAGAGAATTGATGATTCTATAGAAATTACTTGTTTTGTCAGTGTATTTATAAAATGCTAACATATGCCCTGATTTAATAAGCATTTTTACATAAACTTAAAATTATATATTTTGAAAAATATAATTTTTTATACATTGATTTTTTTTGTATATATGATATTCTATTATATTTTAATAGTTTGGGGGGGAGGGGAAATTAAAAGTTTATCCAAAAATATTCAAAATTTTGAAAAGTTTATCCAAAATATTAAATCGAGGCCATAATCAGGATTAAACATACAGCAGTAGTTCTAACTATTTGTCTTTGTGATTTTGTGCCACTTACTTTGATTGTACTGGCATAGCTATCATATTCGTGCTGCTAATTTCTCTATGGAAATTCCATACAGGAGGAAGCCTTTGGAATGTGACGTATACATGACAAGTTCATGGCAACACACAAGGTGAGGCAGGTTGAGTGAGGTTCATTATTATTAAGACTGTCACATAAAGTACACAGTGACATGAAAATGACTGTAATTACTTTGTAATGATAGCACAATATGAGTGAACTAGATGTAATTAATAGTATTAGAGCGCTCTCTACTGGGTTGAAGGAGAAATAATCTAAGGGACAATTGTTTTACCATTGATATTGAGATCTGAGATGATGCAAAGTTTAAGGGACATTCCAAGCACCAAAAAAACTTAATCTAACTTAAGTTGTTATGGTGCCACAAGGCCCCTAGAGCAACTCTTACCTTGAGAATGGTTAAACCCCAAAGTTGCCTCCAGAGGCGATTTCCACTCCTCCACCGGCGGCATCTGGCTTCAACATTTTCAGATTCAGAAGGCGCGGATTGCCGCTGGGCAGGGGCGCTGGTGATTGGCTGAGAGCGGCCAGCTGAAGGTCTCGGCCAATCAGTGACTCCCTATTCACTAAACTGACTTCTAAAGAAACATGCTTTTCTCAAGCTCAGCCAATCAGCGTTCAATAAATTGAACTTTAATCACTCACAGGGTACTCCTGCAGGGTCTAGCAGGCTATTAACAGAGCAGGAGATAATAAATTCTATATTAAATATACTGTGCAATAAACAAAGTTTAAACAGTAGATCTCACTTTACAGGAAGTGTTTAGGAAGGCTGTGTAAGTCACATGCAGGAAGGTGTGACTAGGGCATAAACAAAGTTATTAAACTCCTAAATGGCAGAAAATTGAGCAGTTAGACTGCAGGGTCATGAGCTATCCATCAAAACTGCTCCATTAAGCTAAAGTTGTTTTGGTGACTATAGTGTCCCTTTAAGTAGAAAAACATAGATTTCTCATGGATACCAACATTTTAATAGAGATGTAAATGATAAACAATATAAGATTGAGACAGCCACTGTGGGAGAATTGTAAGAGCAGTTATCTTTTCTTTGGTTTGTACTTAAGTGTATTTTTGTTTTGTCTGTTTTAGAGGGCAGAGACCTTGATGGATTCGGTGTGTGAAGATATGGAAGAAAAGCCTGAACCATATTTTAGTTTCGGAATCATTGCTGATATTCAGTATGCCGACATAGACAATGGTTACAACTTTATGAAGACCAGGATGAGATATTACAGAAACAGCCTGACTCTCCTAAAAGAAGCCGTTCAGGAGTGGGATTCGGAAAGCACCAAACCTAAATTCATCCTCCAACTTGGTGATATCATTGATGGCTTTAACGTTCCCCAGAAAACGTCCGACACATCGCTTGCTATAATACTGGCAGAAATGGAAAAACTGAAGATCCCTTTCCATCACATTTGGGGGAACCACGAATTCTACAATTTCAAGAGAAAATATTTAATGGAATCTAAACTGAACTCTAAACCATTAGAAGATGAAATTGGTCAATTGACCATAAATGAAGATACCAGCGAGACCAGAAGTGACCAGGAATCTTTTTATGGCTATCATTTTAGTCCTTATCCCGGATTTCGATTCCTCTTAATTGATTGTTATGACCTCAGCGTCATCGGTAGAGATACAATGAGTATCAAATATGGGATGTCGTTAAAACTCCTCAAGGAAAAGAATCCCAATGAGGATTTGAACAGCCCTAGAGGTATGGGATAGTTTTTTAAAAGAAATGGGCAATAGGTTGGAGTAACTGCTCTTTCAGATATTAAATGTCTCTGAATGTAACACATCTCAAAGGGGAACCATCACACATACCAGTTTTTCTAATATTATGTTTACTTGTCCCCTATATTTAGCAAATAAGTGTTTGTGAAGTCTGAAAAATAAAATGAAATGTAACAATTTACACTTCAGTATATACTTAAATCCTGTAACTGGCGCCTCCATCTTGGCTACCTGTCAATCCTCACTTTCTTGCCCGTAATTATAGTTAAAGGAACACTATAGGGTCAGGAACACAAACCTTTATACCTGATCCTATAGTGTTAAAACAACCATCTAGCCCCCCATGCCTCTCCTCTTGCCCCTTAAATATAGTAAAATCTTAATTTTGTTCAGGTCTGCAGCTGTTGGCTCTGCCCCTGATCTGTCTGCTTGGCTGACATCATCAAAAGTGTTGTTCTGAGCCAATCACAATGCTTTCCCATAGGATTGGCTGAGACTTTTAAGGAGGCAGATCAGAGGCAGAGCCAAACACAGCCCTGCCCAACCTGCATCCCCTCATAGAGATACATTTGTCATGGCCCCCGGCTTGCGGCTGCAGATGTTCGCACCCGATCGGTGCGACAACACTGACAGGTTTAAGAGCTTACCTGTTCAGCAGCAAGCCGACCCGCTGGGGCGTCCGTTCCCATTTGTAGCTCTGCCTCCAAAGGTCACACGAACGTGCGTGTGACGTCACGACAGCGAGGCACATGCACGTTCTGGTGTCAGAGGCCAAGCCCTGACCAATCACAGCCCAAGGAGGGATATTTAAACCCCTGAATTTCCCTAGTTCATTGCCCTGTCATGGTTTCTTCTCCTGGTTCCTGAGAGTGCATTTTCTTGTCCTTGTTATTGATATTCCCGGTATTCTGACTTTGGCTATTCCTGACTATTCTGATCCATGGTTTCCCTGACTTGGCTTTCTTATCGATCTTGTGTATTTCTGGCTTCCTTGACCTCGGCTTTCCCTTGACCATGCTCTGTCTTTCAACGTATTAGTCTGGCCATTCTAAGGACCGGTTTACGTTCTGTCTATTTTTCTATTCTATTCAGATGTTATATAGTTTTGCGTGTTGGATCACAGTCGTTGTGACAGCATTGAATCAATACATCTCTATGAGGAAAGTTCAGTGTCTCCATGCAGAGAGTGGAGACACTGAATGCCAGTGCTGCACAGTGCAGCACTGCCCCAAGAAGCACGTCTAGTAACCATCTGAGCATAGAAACATAGAATGTGACGGCAGATAAGAACCATTCGGCCCATCTAGAGCAGTGGCCAGTGGGGGTATTCCTAGGCAGTAATGTAAACACTGCATTTTCTCTTAAAAAAGCCTGAAGGGAATGATTCTACTCACCAGAACAAATACAATAAGCAGTGGAATGGAAGAGTTTAAACAGAATATTTCTGCTTTCCTCCTCATTTACATCATCTGCCTTGGCTGTGCCTGGATTGAACTGCATTGTGATGTAACTTGCTAAATATATTAATATACATTTAAAATAAAACAGAGATTCATAAGAAAAAAAAAGTTGGCCTATGGACGTGAGTTTAGAAGGAAATTTCTTTCAGGGTTATTCATTAAACTTCACGCTTTGCTGACATACGGGAGTGTCCACTTGGGTATTTGGGAGAAATACAGCCTTTATTTTTGTCAAAACACAATGTAGCCCCGGTGCTACTTTTTCTATAGTTTTTTTTTTTTTTTTACATGAAATCATACATTTACCATGCTTCTCATTGTAAAGGGGAGTTTTATATTTCATATTTAGTGTGGATTTATTTTGTTTTTATGCTTTTCTCTGTTATAGGACTAGAAGAAGAGCAGTTTGTACAATTTAATGGCGGCGTCAGTGGGGCTCAGTTAAACTGGATCAATAGCGTGCTTGCATCTTCAGATGAACAAGACGAGAAAGTGGTGGTCATCGGTATGTAGGGGTTTAAGTTTAGAATATCTCAATGGACATGTATTTTATAGATTGCTCCTTTTTTATTATATTGATGCAAATGGCTGACATTTTCTGAAAATAGATTTTGTTTACTGCCACTCCTAAACCCGTTTTGTTTTGCTCTTTAAAGGGACACTTTAGTTACCAGAATTACTACAGCTTATTGTATTTGTTCTGGTGAGTAGAATCATTCACGTCAGGCTCTTTGCAGTAAACACTGTATGTTCAGACAAAACATTTACATTACAGCCCATGGATATCTCCACTAGCCACTCCTTAGATGGCTTCCTAGGGCAGTGCTGCACACTGTGCAGTACTGCCATTCAGTGTATCCACTCTCTGCATGCAGACACTGAGCTTTCCTTAAAGAGATGCATTGATTCAATGTATTTCTACGAGGAGATGTTGATTGGCCAGGGCTTTGTTTGATTTGTGCTGGCTCTGCCCCTGATCTGCCTCCTTTACAGTCTCAGCCAATCCTATATGAAAGCATTGTGATTGGCTCAGACCACCAGATCTGATGATGTCATCAGACAGCAGGCAGTTCAAAAGCAGCAGCTTCAGACTTTAATACAAGTAAGATTTTACTACATTTAGGGAGGCAAAAGGGACCAGGGGGGCTAGATGGTGGCCCTTTAATATGAAATGAACTTTGCAATCTACTGATACAATATATAGGAGCTCCAGTCTACAACAAAACATGTCTACATTGTAGTTTGCTGGCTGTGCCTTACTTGTATTAGACTGTAGTGTAGATAGAAACTTTAGCCTCTCTAAATATACCCATTCTGTGTGCTTCTTGTTCAATGTCAATAGAAGCTAATTACTACAACATTATAGTCGCTTTTTCTGCTTGTCACATGACTGATTGGAGCTGTGAATTGAAACAAACTTATGTAATACTTTTGACACTTCTGTTTACGTATATTATAATACCATTACTTTATTTAACTCTTTTTTCCCCCCCGTACAGGTCACCTCCCCATCCATCTAGACTCCACAGATGCTATTTGTTTGGCCTGGAATTACAAGGAGATTTTGTCAGCGTTACAATCCCACCCCTGCGTAATTGGATATTTTGCAGGACACGACCATGACGGAGGGTACTCTGTGGATGCTAGCGGAATACACCATATAACTTTCAAAGGGGTTATAGAAACACCTCCCGAGAATCAGGCCTTTGGGACGATGTATATGTACGAAGATAAAATGGTTTTAAAAGGACGAGGTCTGGTTTTAAGCAAAACTTTACATTATAGAAATGGCAGAAAGGAGGAACCTGTGCATTAATTTTATTTGTAGTTAATTGAGTGAATTCTTGACAATCCATTTATAGAAACAGAGAATTACAGAAACTTGTAGGTTTATACAGGTACTAACAGACATGAGGCAGGGCTGCTTTCTGGAACTATCGTATTATAACTCTAACACGTTAAACAGCAAAGGTTATACATACACACAAACCTGAACAGAAAGACGTTATTGCTGTAGAAGCCATAACAAGAGATGCAAGTCATCACATGTTCTGGCTCAAAGAGCTCTCTCCAAGAATGTCTTGAGTGTAATTAAAATAATTTAAACGTCTGTTATTCATAGAGCTGACTCCGTCCCCTTACTCCCAGAATCCTTTGAGGGTGGGGGGTGAGCCAAGAGCCAAAAATTGCAGCGAATTAACTATGCGTGTATCTGGATTATTTTGTTTTATTAAACACAATCTCAAGAATTTTATTTACAAATGAAATTACTTTTTTGTCATTCTGGCAATGATCCTAAAAAATGTTTTTTTTTATACATAGATCTCATACAGTGCAACTTTTGTAGGAACATTGCTGGTTAAGTGTTAATGTATTGTCACGGTACCTGTGGCGTCAGGACTTTTGTTGTTCTTGCCCTCTGATATATTAATTCACACCTTTTAAAATTGTATTTATATCGACTCATTTCACTCCTTTACTGCCTCTTTTTCCAGACATGTAACGTAACAGCGCCAGTTTACATTCAGCATTATAACCCTATCGTATAAACCAGGGAATGACAAATAACACTCAAAATATTACTTAGTTAATTAATTTTTAAGGTGTATTGTCATAATGTAGGATAACTAATTGGGATTGTATTAATTACCTTTTTATCTTGTCTGCTAGAAAAGAATAGGGTTAGGTTAAAGAATCACGCAGAGACTGCCCTCTGTAACCGAACAAATTTAGTTCATGTTACATAGAGAAATTTACCTCTTGGGTGTCCAGCCTTGGCCCTTCATTAGCTATTTAACTCTATTTCTCTGCTCATAGTATATGCAGTTATTTTAGTTGTCAAAAAGATTCAGACATCATTGTCACCAAAAATATCTTAAATGTTTTTACAGCGATGTGTCTAATAAAAGAGGGAATTCCTTTGTAGTTTTTATAGATTGGCAGGATTAATATTCACTAAAGTGAGAATCGTCATATATTCAAAGTGAATTTCTAATTTTAGACCAAAGTAGCCGAGCTAGAAGCATATGTGACTTGGAGAATTTTTTCAGTTTAGTTATTTTGGCCTTAAATTCACTTTGCATTTCCTACAGTGCTTGCCTCTGGGGCCAGCCAAGTCGGTTTCACATGCAGCACAGATCATGTATTACAAATAAGGGGTTATTCACTAAATAGGGAATTGTGGAGAGATTTCACAGGCAATGCAGATCACTTTAGCGTATAACCATGAGATAAATGTGTAAATTACAGGTATAATGACCCAGCAGGGGACATGAGAAGCAGTCTTTGATCAATGATTGTGAATATTGATAGTAATTTTGGTATTTATTGAATAAACCTTCTACTGTTTACAAGGGTGAGAGTGGTGGAGCACCCCAGAAAAGTTGGGGTGAAAAGGATGGAGTGTGTAGAAGTCAGTGGGTCTTAAAGGACCACTCTAGGCACCCAGACCACTTCAGCTTAATTAAGTGGTCTGGGTGCCAGGTCCCTCTAGGATTAACCCTTTTTTTTATAAACATAGCAGTTTCAGAGAAACTGCTATGTTTATAAATGGGTTAATCGAGCCTCTAAAGCCTCTAGTGGCTGTCTCATTGACAGCCGCTAGAGGCGTTTGCGTTCTTCTCACTGTTTAAATCACAGTGAGAAGACGCCAGCGTCCATAGGAAAGCATTATGAATGCTTTCCTATGAGACAGGCTGAATGCGCGCGCAGCTCCTGCCGCGAATGTGCATTCAGCCGAAGATTAGGATTGGAGGAGGAGAGCTTCCCGCCCGGCGCTGGAAAAAAGGTAAGTTTAACCCCTTTCCTTGCCATCCAGCCCGGCGGGAGGGGGACCTGACGGTGGGGGCACCCTCAGGGCACTATAGTGCCAGGAAAACGAGTATGTTTTCCTGGCACTATAGTGGTCCTTTAATTTGAGTTATCATATACTTGAGCAATACCTTATCTGTTGTAATCTGTATGTCGATTACTTGTCAAATATCCCAATTGTATAATTGTAAAGTGCTGCAGAATAGGTTGGTGGGTATAAGAATGTTAACAACAGTAAATACATATAGACTGTAAGAGACAGATACAGTATATTTCACAATACTATTGTCATTGTTCTCTTTCCTCATTTGCAAACTGCAGTTTGGATTTGGTACCACTAGATGGTAGGCATTAATTGTGACTTGTAAAATGCTGAATACCACGACCACTGCCCAGAAGTTGCATAAGTAGCTGTATTTGTTCAGTAATGCAAAAACAAAATGACAAGAGTATTGGGGTATTGTTCCACCTGTTTTATTGTGTTAATATAGTTCTAAAATGGCAAGTTTGAGGAGAACCCACTTGATAATCTCCTAACAAATCAGAGTTCCAAAATGTTCCTAGTTGAAGAAAAGTGGTATTTATAAGGAGCAGTAAAACCTAATGCAGTTGGTCAGCCAAGGATCTGTAAATAAGGCTTAAATCCCAAGAGGTATAATGGCTATCTTTAGCCCTTCACTGCATGACCCCCATCATACAGCTTTTAAAAAGTAGTCTAGCTCACCGGTGTCAACACAAGGCTAGTATTGCATATAAACATACACACAGGGTTATTCAATAAAGGCAAAACTGAAAGTGAATTTCAAATTTAAAGGGATACTATTACAAAGCTGTATTCCTGGCACTATCGTTCCCCCTGCCTTACACTTCCTTGTGCCGCTCCGCCCAGGTGAATAAAGGGTTAAAAATCATTTATTTACTACCTGATCCCAGCGCCAATGTCCCTTGGCATTGGGTCGATTCTCCGCCCCCTCCTTCTTCCCGGAATGAGCGGGCACTAATGCGCATGCCCGGCAAACGCCCTGCCCGCATTAGACCTCCCCATAGGAAAGCATTATATCAATGCTTTCTTATGGGGAAAAATCTGACGCTGGAAGTCCTTTATGCAGAGTGTGAGGATTTCCAGCTTCAGATACCGTGGTATCTTAACCCAGTCCTCAAGTACCCCCAACCAGTCCAGGATTTAGAAATGACCCTGTTGTGTGTAAAGTGTTTTTCTTTCTTTTTTTCTAAAAACACCGTAGACAGAAATGGGTGATCCCTAAATCCTGTACTGTTATGGGGTACTTGAGGACTGGGTTGGGAACCACTAGTCTAGATGATAGTTTCATGTGTCTACCCATGAATCCTTACTTGCAGTGTAAATGAACACGTTATGCTCAAGGAATCTATGGGAAATTAGGTAGGTTAACTCATTAGTGTAGTTGTGCTCGGCAATGGTCTGCTGACCTTGCTGTACCTAGAGTTGAGCAATTTCCTTAGTCATAACCAACATTTTGTAGGATTATTTCACGGTTCAACAATGCAGTCTGCCAGGAATCAGCCTCATAGATTTCTATTAAAGATTAAACAGCCCGTAGGTGTTTTTTTTATTTCAATGTTCGTCTAACGTAGGCAAGCTTTCAAAAGCTGCCTTACACAATGCTTAACCCCTTAAGGACCAAACTTCTGGAATAAAAGGGAATCGTGACATGTCACACATGTCATGTGTCCTTAAGGGGTGGTGTGGGAAGGGGGGATAGAGGAAAAATTGAACCATTTTGACAATAGTTTTTACATCTCTAGTGGAATGCATATACACCATAACAACCGAGCTGTGAATATGCTGATAGCAGCTGCAGTATGGCTCCTTGAGTAGTATCACTCACTCTGTGTAATGAATGAAACTGTTACTGGAGGATAAACTACATATCCTATAAATTACTGTTCAATAAGAAAAAAAATAAACATAGACTAGAATGAATGTCACTTGAGTAAACTAAATGCAACAGTTTTAGGATTTTAAAGAAATATACCAAGTACTATAACCAGTACAGCCCACTGTAGTGATTATGGTGTCGGTAGTCTTTTTAGCACGGTTTGACAACTTACCTGTATGTCTTCCGAGCACCCACTCTGTAATGGCTGCATCTGTTGTTCACCAGCAGAGAAGCCATATGTATCTGCGTAGAACAAAGCAAGGGCCATAGTTATGATCCGAGAACATCAGCAGAGCACTCACAGCTAGTGAGCACAGTCCTCCATTGGACGACTTTGCTTTCAAGAGGAAGGATGGAAAACGGACACCGGTTAGGCCCAGGTAAGTCATCCAATAGATCCAGAGTGATGTAATAGATACACAGTGTGATCCAATAGATCCAGAGTGATGTAATAGATACACAGTGTAATCCAATAGATCCAGAGTGATGTAATAGATACAGTGTGATCCAATGTGATGTCATAGATACAGTGTGATTCAATGGATCTAGAGTGATGTAATAGATACACAGTGTGATCCAAAGGATCCAGAGTGATGTAATAGATACACAATGTGATCCAATGTGGTGTCATAGATACACAGTGTGATTCAATGTATCCAGAGTGATGTAATAGATACAGTGTGATCCAATAGATCCAGAGTGATGTAATAGATACACAGTGTGATCCAATGTGATGTCATAGATACACTGTGATTCAATGGATCCAGTGTGATGTAATAGATACACAGTGTGATCCAATGTGATGTAATAGGTACACAGTGTGATTCAATGGAACCAGAGTGATGTAATAGATACACAGTGTGATCCAATGTGGTGTCATAGATACAGTGTGATCAATGTGTGATGTAATAGATACACAGTGTGATCCAAAGGATACAGAGTGATGTAATAGATACACAGTGTGATTCAATAGATCCAGAGTGATGTTATAGATACACAGTGTGATTCAATATCCAAAATGATGTAATAGATACAGTGTGATCCAATGAATCCAGAGTGATGTAATAGATACACAGTGTGATCCAAAGGATACAGAGTGATGTAATAGATACACAGTGTGATTCAATAGATCCAGAGTGATGTTATAGATACACAGTGTGATTCAATATCCAAAATGATGTAATAGATACAGTGTGATCCAATGAATCCAGAGTGATGTAATAGATACACAGTGTGATCCAAAGGATACAGAGTGATGTAATAGATACACAATGTGATCCAATGTGGTGTCATAGATACACAGTGTGATTCAATGGATCCAGAGTGATGTAATAGATACACAGTGTGATCCAATAGATCCAGAGTGATGTAATAGATACACAGTGTGATCCAATGTGATGTCATAGATACACTGTGATTCAATGGATCCAGAGTGATGTAATAGATACACAGTGTGATCCAATGTGATGTAATAGATACACAGTGTGATTCAATGGATCCAGAGTGATGTAATAGATATACAGTGTGATCCAATGGATCCAGAGTGATGTAATAGATACACAGTATGATTCAATAGATCCAGAGTGATGGTGTAGATACACAGTGTGATCCAATGGCGTGTCATAGATACACAGTGTGATTCAATGGATCCAGAGTGATGTAATAGATACACAGTGTGATCCAATAGATCCAGAGTGATGTAATAGATACAGTGTGATCCCATGTGATGTCATAGGTACACTGTGATTCAATTGATCCAGCGTGATTTAATACACAGTGTGATCCAATGTGATGTAATAGATACACAGTGTGATTCAATGGATCCAGAGTGATGTAATAGATACACAGTGTGATCGAATGTGATGTAATAGATACACCGTGTGATTCAATGGATCCAGAGTGATG